AAATTTTGAATGAATTTTTGAAACAAAAAAGGATTCGAGTTGAAAACCTGAAAAGGTGGCTCGAATATAAAAATTGTGCAATTGAAGCGATTGTACAAATTCCTTGATAAGGCTTCAAATAATCCGAGTGTGATTGTGAGAGCTGGGAGTCGGAGAACACTTCTAGTAGGGGAGCATACAAGCCACCCCATCAAATCAGTGAACATCAAAGAAATAAGAATGTCAAACCATTGACCAAACACAATAACCTGAGACATTTTACCCTTTCCTTACCTAACCATTTTCCAAAGATAGATTTGATCTTGACACTTGTCAAATAGCTATAATTTATTGAAGGATTAACAGTGTAATTAATTATTTGATATCCAATGAACTCTAGTTTTATGATTTGTCTCAATTGTAAAACCTAGAAAGGGGCAATATTTTCAAAACTTTTGATTAAACATTTTTCAAAATTATTCTAATTGATATTTTGATCTTAAAAAATAAATTTTGTCTCTTAAGACAATTTTTGAAGAAAAATCATTTAGTTTGTTTCTTTGGAAACAAAATTTTGTCTCTTTTGAGGCAATTCCTTTTTTAAAAAATCTTTTAGTTTGTTTCTTTGGAAACAAAATTGTCTCTTTTGAAGCATCATATCCGAGTCAGTTTCTTTTGAAACCAAATCATCTTTAGATGGCTAGAACTCTTCATCACGTATGAGTCGTGTCATCAACTGACCATATCTCCTCATTATGTAGAAATTGTGTCAACCTATATAGCCAGCCGTCCTCATCACGTAGGAACCGTGTTATCACCCTTAGATGGCCTGTCGTCCTCATCACGTAGGAACCGTGTCATCACCCGACTAGATTTCCTCATTATGTAGGAGCTATGTCAACCTAGATAACCAGCTGTCCTCATCACGTAGGAACTGAGTTATCACCTTTCCTAAAGATGGAAAAGAACTCTTCATCACGTATGAGCAGTCTCATCCCCTGACTAGATATCCTCATTATGTAGGAGTTTTATCACCCTTAGACAACCCGAACTCTTCATCACGTATGAGCAGTATTGTCTCTCAAATCAAACACTATCAAGTTTCCAAAACCAAAAAAGAGAATCAAACAAAAACTGGTTGTTTTTTTTGTCTTTGCCCTATTCTTGTTAACACAATAATATGCAAAGAGGGGCAGTTGTAGACACCTGTTTTTATCCGGGTTGAAAATATTATTAAAAATTATTATATATTATTATTATTATTCTTATTTACATATTTCTTTTGCAGGGTACTTGGAGCCCACCATTACAAGATTGAGGCCCAAATTACAATTACAACAACCCATTTACAAAGAACCTATTTGGAGACAAAGTGAAGACCCAATTGCTCAGTCAACCCGATCCGACCCAACAACTAGACCCGACCTGAGGCCCAGAATCCAGATCCAACCCATTATAATTAGGGTTTTTAAACCCTAAAATAAACATCAACAGTTCAGCCACCGCTGAACCCCGAGCCTTCACCGACACATGATCCACCGACGAGCTGTCAGTCGAGCCATCACCAATTAACATCAACACCTGTTAAGTGCACCGAAACATCCACCCAAAAGTCAAAGACAAACTCAACCTAATCCCAAAAATTTCAGGATTCATTCATCATAAAACCTAATCCCCACCACATTAATCATGCAACAACCCTTAGAAAAAGGGGGAGGTATTCGACGAAAGAGGGAGAAAAAAAAAAGAAAAACCATTCGAGGGCAGAGCAAAAAAAGAAGGGGCATTCGAACGGGATTCAAAAACAAAAAAACATAGAGAGCAAAATCCATTCGAACAAAAGAAAAATAGAAAAGAAAATATGAGAGAGATGAGAGAGCATACCTTCTCGCCGGAGATGGAGAAACCTTTCCACTACTTTTGAGCCACTTTTAGGCCAAACGAAGGCCAGATCCTTACTCAGGGCCTGGAGACGTGTCGAATAGTATCTTCATCTCTCCATTCCGGCACCAGTATACGGTGGCGACCGGTACGACGAAGGCTCGCCGTCTCCCGAGAGCTCTCTGGATCTCTCACTCTTTTTCTCTCTCTCTTCTCTACTTAGAAATGAATCAAATGGGAAGCTTAGACCATTTTTGGCCTTATATTTCATATATATATATTAATCAAAACAACACCATTTAAGGGTCTGATGCATGCGTGTTTCAGCGTCAGGGGTACCTCTCTTGTAACCTTATATTTTGGCCATTAATAAAATCATTGTTGTTTTATTTCGAGCTTTTAGTTTTCAATGATTTAATTTCAGTCACTAGTTTATGTTTAATGTTATATTTACTAATATTCAAATTTAGCCCATGGATTTATGTCTGTTTTATTTTGGTCACTGTTTTAATGTTGAGTGTTTTAGGGTTAATTATAATTTGATCCTCCATATCTTTAGGGTATTTTATTTTAGTCTATATTATTATTAATGGGTTATTTTTTATATTTAGTACTTGTATTATTTAGTGTTTGTGATTTTAGCTTTAGTTTATTTTGTTAATACCATTTTAGTCCTTTTAATTTTTATTAATACTATATTAGTCCTTTAAGTATTATTAATACTATTTGTTATTTTTGCAAAGTAGAAAGCTGGGAATTCTTAATTTGTGAGAATCTGACGGTGCGCACAATGGAAAATGGAATCCTAAGAAAAAGCTAGGGGTGTAAACGAGCCGAGTCGAGCTCGAGTATTGCCGAGCTCGACTCGAACTCGAAAACTTTAAATGTAGGCTCGACTCGACTCGAAAACTCGCGAGCCTAAAATTTTCAAGCTCGACTCAAACTCGAAAGATAATATTAAAACTCGACTCAAACTCGAAAAGGCTCGAACTCAAAAAAAATTTAAGAGCTCGATTGAAACTCGATTTTGAGCTCGATTCAAGCTCGATTCAAGCTCGAACTCGATTAAAGCTCAAACTCAAACTCGAATTTGATCCTTAGGGGTAAATTAGCTTTAGGCTCTCTAGATTTATGCGTTTTGTACAAAACAGTCCCTCAATTATTTAAATTTTAGCTTAAATTAGTCCTCATTTAGATTTTCTTAATTTAGTCTCTGTTTAGGATTGTTTTCTTTAATTAGTTGTGTATATTTATTTGGCATGTTGATATGTTTATGTATAAGTATGTGATAATTTATTTATGAGCCACATAACATCATTTTGCATTTGTATGTTACCTTCATGGCATAACTTAAACCCTAACACATAAACCCTAAACCTTAACACATAAACCCTAAACTCTAAACTTTAAACCTTAAATCCTATCACATAAACTCTAAACCTTAAACCTTATCACATAATTAGTTATGAGGTAAGTACAATATAGTATCTTGATATTAAATGCTCAAACCCTTGATATTATTTATGATATTTGAACCCAAAACCTCAAAATATAACAACAATTTAAAAAATTAGTTATTACAAATATTTTCATTAGAAATATATTAAATATTTGTCATTAGAGAAATAATTTTTTTTATCAATTTAAAATAAATATAAGAATATTTATTCAAAAATAATTTTTAACCATTTTCAATTCAAGAATATTTATTCATCAATAATGTATTTTTAATATATTTTTAATAATGTAATTTTAAAAAATATAAAATTATAATATAATATTTTTTCGAGCTGCTCACGAGCTTTTCGAGTCGAATATCGAGTAGCTCGTTTCGGCTCGTTAAGAACTCGAGTCGAGTTCGAGCTCGAGTCGAGTCCATTCGATCCGAGTATTTATCGAGCCAAGATCGAGTCGATCTCGAATAGCTCGCGATCTGTCTCGTCTCATTTACAGCCCTAGAAAAAGCTACCAAACATGGAACTTTGCACCTATTCAATACTCCTTTATTCTACCAACTATCACTTACTTTCGTGAGATCACATATTAGGTATTTTTAAATAATATTTAAAGTTACATAAATTAATAGTAGTAAAATAATTATTGTTATTAAAGAGTCATTATTTCTGTAATTACTGTTTTAGGACTTAAAGTTTCTGTTTTTTTCATTTTAGTCTTTTAAATTTCAGTTTTATATTTGTCTTTAAATTTTTTTGTTTTTACTATTTTGATCCTTAAAGTTTTTGTTTTTCTTTATTTTGGTCTTTATAAATTTAAATACTTATTTTTGCTATTTGTATTTCGGTTTTTTATATTTATTTATTTTCATTTTAGTCCCTTATGTATGTACATATCATTTATTTTTTATATGTAACATTATATGAATAATATTAATTTTATATTGTAAATATTTTTATATCGCATGTTTCTAATCATCATTGTTTGCTAATATACGAGAATGGAAATTTCACTGTGAGAAAAATCTACGAAGACATCTCCTAAATACAAGGGAATATGTTTTTTCAAGGATTTGTCTCATAAAAGCTTGTTTTATATTCGATAATTTTATTTGTACTACGTTTATTTATTTCAAGTATTTTCCACAGTTTTTTATTTTTATTTCGTTTTATTTAATTTTATTTTGTCCTTGTGAAATTCGTGAATTAATATCGTTTGTGGAGAGAAATCTATGGGAAAGTCTCCTAACTACAAAGGAAGTGCATTCCCGAATATTATTCATTAATTATTCGAAGATTGTTCACATTTTTTAAATAAATTCGAATGAATAAAAGGATCGTAATTTAAATATATTTTCGAGTTTGTAATTCCTGATATTTAAACAATTTATAATCATTTAGGTACCAAAAATTTGGGCGATGTGGGGATGCTAATCATTTCCTATGCGTAACCGACTCTCGAATCCATTTAATTGAATCTTTGGTGACGTAGACCAGTTTTTTGTCTTAAAAACGATTTTTCTTAAAATTATTTTTTTAAGACGTTTTTAGATATTCGACCTACCTAACACAAAAGGTCGATGGCGACTCTATTTAATTTAATTTAAAATCATCAATTTTTCCAAGATTAAAATCATAACTATTTTTAAAAAAATAAAATATTGTTCCACCCTAAAATCGTGGGACATGTACATTGAAGAAGCACTTCCAAAGCTGGAGTCTCGCAATATGTTTACGCCTCTAAGGCCCATGAATATACCCATTGCAGGAGAAGAAGGAGCTCAAACCAAGTTCGATGAAGATGAATATCAAACATACGATGGAATTCAGCCTTGGGATCGACTTGCTGCTCAAATTGAACTCCCGCAATCATTCTTCCAACGATTGTTGAATGGTATGTGTTCTAACATTCAGGCTTAATATTATTACATGTGAATTGTGGGTACATCAACATGAAATGCATGAGCATGCAGGAGTTGAGCTTGTCAGCAAATATGAAGTTGAAGAAAATGACATAATAAGTTCAAACCAGGAGACGGAGTACAAGAAGCTTATTCTATTCGCTGGAAATGATTTCTTGGGTTTGAGTAGGCATCCCACCATTGCGAAAGCTACTGCCAAGGTATTTCATTTTTCGAATGAATTTGGAGTATGATGTTGAAATTCATATTGTACATCAATTAATGATTTTTCAACTTCAACAGGCAGCAATGGAACAGGGAACTGGTCCAAGGGGTTCTCCACTTATCTGTGGATATACCAATTATCACATGGCACTGGAATCCAGCTTGGCGAAATTAAAGAAGAAAGAGGTATATTATATCATATCTCACTTCTTTTACCTATAATTTATTAAACATTCGAATTCAATGGCTTCATTCGTTAGTATATTCGGGATTGTAGGCTTGCCTTCTTTGCACATCAGGCTTTGGAGCCAATATGGCGGTGATGGTTGCAATCGGAAGTATTGTGCCGGTGATATGTGAAGGTGAAGGAAGGAGGCCAGCAAAGGAAGAAAAGGTTGCCGTATTCTCCGATGCACTTAACCATGCCTCCATTGTTGACAGTCTTAAACTCGCTGATCGATTTGGAGGAGTCAAATTATTTGTGTACAAACACTGTGACATGTCTTACCTCGATGCACTGCTGTACGTCGTTTTCTATGTTAACATGATTTCCTTGGATCTTTAACATATATGATTAATTACCACCATCTAAACCTGGTTTATTTTATGGAAATTTCACAGAACAAACTGTAAAAATAAGAGAAAAGTGGTGGTGACTGATAGGAAAGCCGGCCGTTTCTTGTCTCAATTTTCATTTCTATTTATCTGTCTTCAAGTATGAAGTCTTATTAAAACCATCTTCTATTAACAGCTTGTTCAGTATGGATGGAGACATTGCACCCATGGCTGAGCTGGCTCAGCTCCGCAAGAAGCATGGGTTTTTGTGGGTGCTTGATGATGCAAGTCCTTCAATATTCAATTATAAAAATCCATTGATTATAACATTATGGATTCTTGTGAATCAATATTCCACTTTTTCAGGCTCATGGAACATTTGTTTGGGGAAGAATGGAGGGGACTAGCTGAGGAATTCAACTGTGAGTACGATGTGGACATATCCATTGGCACATTGAGTAAGACAGCATCTTCTCTGGGAGGGTTCGTAACATGCAGGTAGTTAATGGCTTTACCATATATATGTTCAAAGTGCATCCATGGAAGTTCAATTATTTTACATCATACGAGCTCATGATATATGAATGGTAAATAAACAGCAAAATATGGAAACAGTGGATTCAATCAAGGGGAAGCTCTTTCATATTTTCAACAATTGCGCCTATTCCCTTAGCTGCTGCCTCTTATGCATCTGTGGTGGTGGCAAAGAAAGAATCATGGCGTAGAAGGGAAATCCAGAACCGAATGAAGGAGTTGCACGCTCTAACTGGGATCCCTGTCAAAAGCCAGATAGTATGCGTCATGATTGGAGATATGATGCAGGCCATCAAAGCCAGACAGTTTTTTTTCTTTCTCACTCTCTTATCTGTTTCATATCTTTCTATTGAGTGGCTGTCGGACCACCTGCAGTCGCTCCGAATACAGCAAGGTTCGATAACGACACCAACACATAAATTATTCACATATATAATCTTTACTTATTTACTCTTCATTCAGGTTGCGATTGACTCTCACTTCTGTACACACATCAGAAGATATAAAAAGGCTTGTTGCAATTAATATCAAAGTACGTCAAGTTTCAAGTTCCCAGCAGCAGCGATTGCTCCGATTATTTAACTCCCAGGCTTTAGCTCAAGCTTTGTATCGTAAACCTGGGATTTGTTATTGTTTTGTCATCAAACAAAATAACAATGGCCTAAAACGGCTAGGCCTAACTACTTGAGTTTCTCAAGGTGCTTTGTGTTTGTGTCATTCTTTCCTTGACTTTGGACCTTTCAATACAACAATTGTTTCAATTACAGCTTCTGCTATTAATAAATTCTTAATTGATTTCTTCTGAAATATGCATATCAGCCGATAAAACATAGGACTTTTAACAAATTATTAAAAGCTTTCTCATACTCCATTGTTCAATAGAAAATACAAAAAAAATCTAATATATAAGAATTTAAAATTTTCAAGGATGAATTGTCCATCCATGATTGCATCATTAAGTGCAGGAAGAGAATTTGCAACCGAAACAACTGTTGGATCATAAACTTGATCCATTATGGGAGCCTAAACTCAAACCCAAATTAAATTGATGTCATTGCTTACATCAATTAGATGAAGATGTCATTGCTTACATCAATTTAGTTAGGTGAGAGTTACGTATTTGTAGACTTTAATGGTTTAAATTATTTTATTTGTGTGGTGTATGATTGTTCTTGAGTAGTATAAATATCCCTCCCCATTTTAGTTTAAGCATCAAGAAAAATTAAGAGATTCTAAGTGAGTGAAAAAGCAAAGTCTTATAAGAGTGAGTTGTAGTTCTTGTTTTTGAGTGAGAGTGCTCTTGTAATATTTGTTTGAGTTTCAATAAAAGTTGTTTGTGTGAGTGTTTTATTTCCATCAAAGTGGTATCAGAGCGAGTTGGAAAGATCGAAGATCTCGACGAGAGGAATCCGCCGCCGCCAAAATCTTCCCAATCTGAGTTCTGACGCGCCGCCACACACCGTCAGAAGACTGCTGCCAAAAAATCAAGTTAACTCACCGAGTTGAGCCGAGTCAGCCAAGTTGGAGCCCCTTGATCGAGTTGTCCAAGTCCCTCCCAAGGTTTTTCGGCGTTCCGGATTCATCCTTGCAATTGGATTTCACAAATTCTCATTATATTGAGAGATATGGCAAATGGTATGGCACAATTCCAAGTTCCAACACTCAACAACAACAACTACAACAATTGGAGTATCAAAATGAAGGCACTTCTTGGATCACAAGATGTGTGGGATATCATAGATAAAGGCTATAACGAGCCTACAGATGATGATGCTTTTGCTACTCTTACACCAGATCAAAAGACAACTTTAAAGAATTCAAGAAAGAGAGACAAGAAGGCTCTCTACCTCATCTATCAAGCATTAGATGATGATGGTTTTGAAAAAATTTCGAGTGCAAGCTCTAGTAAGGAAGCGTGGGAGAAGCTGCAAACCTTTTACAAAGGATCCGAGCAAGTGAAGAAGGTTCGTCTCTAAACATTAAGAGGTAAATTCGAATCCTTGCACATGAAAGCATCCGAGTTTATTTTAGATTATTTCTCAAGAGTAGTAGCTATTTCTAATCAATTAAAAAGAAATGGTGAAAAGTTGGAAGATGTGAGGATAATAGAGAAGATACTCCATTCGTTGGATCCTAAATTTGAGCACATAGTCGTGACGATTGAAGAAACTAAAGACTTGGAAGAAATGACGATCGAGCAACTCCAAAGATCATTGCAAGCATAAGAAGAAACATGGGTTTACTGAGCAACTCCTCAAGCTGCAACTCAAAGATATGCATGAAACCCAACGTAATGATAGAAACCAACGTGGCCTAGGCAGAGGTAGAGGCCATGGATGAGGTGAAAGTCACGGACGTGGACGAGGCTGGAATTTCAACAACAACTATGAGAAAGGAGAAAGCTCAACACAAGGTCGTGGAAGAATCAATCCGAACTCAAGATATGACAAATCTCAAGTTTGATGTTATAATTGTCAGAAGTTTGGGCATTATGCTTCAGAATATAGAGCTCCCAATAACAAAATTGAGGAGAAGGCCAACTACGTAGAGGAAAAGACAGATGGAAAAGAAACTCCTCTTCTAGCTCTTCTTCTAGCACGAAAGGAAGCTGTTGGTTGCCAAGCAAATTCCTGGTATCTTGACAGTGGTGCAAGCAATCACATGTGTGGAAGGAAAGACATGTTCGTGGAGCTAGACGAGTCAGTAAGCGGAAATGTTTCGTTTGGAGATGATTCCAATATAACAGTGAAAGGAAGAGGTAACATCCTTATCCATTTGAAAGATGGGAGACATCAATTTATTTCAAATGTCTACTATATGCCCAATATGAAAAGTAACATCTTAAGTTTAGGGCAACTGATAGAGAAAGGTTATGATATTCATAAGAATAATTATAATATTTCTATAAAAGATGATAAGAATGACTTCATTGCTAAAGTGTCAATGTCAAATAATAGAATGTTCTTGATCAACATACAAAATGATGTTGCAAAGTGCCTGAAAGCTTGCTACAAAGATGCATCATGGCTTTGGCATCTCAATTTTGGAGGTCTAGAGCTGCTATCTAAGAAAGAGATGGTGAAGGGACTACCTTGCATCAACCATCCTGACCAGCTTTGTGAAGGGTGTCTAGTCATGAAACAATTTAGGAAAAGCTTTCCAAAAGAGTCAGAGACAAGAGCCATGAAGCCACTTGAGCTCATCCATACCGATGTGTGAGGACCGATCAAGCCAAGCTCTCTCGGTAACAGTAACTATTTTCTTCTCTTCATTGATGATTTTTCAAGAAAAACATGGGTATATTTCTTGAAACAGAAGTCAGAAGTTTTCAAAGTCTTCAAGAACTTCAAATCAGCAGTGGAGAGAGAAACTAGTAGAAAGATCAAAGCCATGAGATCCAACCGAGGTGGAGAATTTACTTCCAGGGAGTTTCAAGAGTTCTGTGAAGTAAATGGAATTCATCGACCAATGACAGTTCCTAGATCCCCCCAGCAAAATGGTGTAGCAGAAATAAAGAACAGAACAATCCTCGACATGGCACGAAGCATGCTCAAAAGCAATAAACTACCCAAGGAATTTTGGGCGGAAGCAGTAGCGTGTGCAGTCTACTTGTCAAATCGATCTCCAACAAGAAGTGTATGGGGAAAGACACCGCAAGAGGCATGGAGTGGAAGAAAGCATGGCATTTCCCACTTGAGAACCTTTGGAAGTATAGCCCATGTTCACGTACCAAACGAGAGAAGAACGAAGATTGATGATAAAAGTGAGAGTTTTATCTTCATTGGTTACGATACTAATTCGAAAGGCTACAAGTTGTACAATCCAGACAATAAGAAGTTTGTGATTAGTCGAGATGTGGTCTTCAACGAAGAATGAGAATGGGATTTTAACTCTCATGTAGAAGACTTCAATTTATTTCCTCAGTTTGAAGAAGATGAGCAGACAATGAGGGAATAACTAGGTGAACCTCAAAAAGAACCTCAACAAGAGCTTGAAACTCCACCCACTTCACCAACATCAACCACTCAAGGAGATTCATCACCTTCGTCATCGTCAAGTGGGAGTCAAAGTGAAAGAGTTGTGCAACATACAAAAAGCCTTAGAGATCTCAATGAGGTAACTGAACGACAAGATAATATTACATTATTTTGTCTGTTTGCTGATTGTGAACCAATGAGCTTTCAAGAAGCGGTACAAGAAAAGAAATGGAGAAATGCGATGGATAAAGAAATCAAGGCCATCGAGAAGAATGACACATGGGAACTTACCTCACTTTCCAAGAGACATAAGGAGATAGGTGTCAAATGGGTGTACAAAACAAAGAAAAACGCCAAAGGAGAGATTGAAAGGCACAAGGCGAGGCTAGTTGCTAAAGGCTATAGTCAAAAGGCTGGAATTGACTATGATGAGGTATTTGCTCCTGTTGCTGGATTGGAAACTATTAGACTAATCATTTCTTTGGCAGCTCAAAACAAGTGGAAGATACAACAAATGAATGTAAAGTCTACCTTCCTAAATGGATTTCTTGAAGATGAAGACTACATTCAGCAACCATCAGGCTACAAAGTCAAAGGGCACGAAGACAAGGTGTTGAAGTTGAAGAAGGCTCTTTACGGGCTAAAACAAGCACCAAGGGCATGGAATAGCCGAATCGACAAGTACTTCCAAGAGAATGGCTTCAACAAGTGTCCCTACGAGCACGCTCTATATATCAAGATCAACGATGGAGATATTTTTCATGGGAGATACTACTTTCACATGGATGTCAAAGAAACAACCGATTGTCACATTATCCACTTGTGAAGCGGAATATGTTGCTACTACCTCATGTGTTTATCATGCAATTTGGCTTAGAAATCTATTGAAGGAGATAGGTTTGATACAAGAAGAGCCTACCAAGGTTTTTGTTGATAACAAGTCAGCCATTGCCTTAGCAAAGAATCCAGTATTCCATGATCGAAGCAAGCACATCGATATTCGCTACCACCATATAAGGGAGTGTGTTGCAAGAAACAATGTGGAAGTTGAATACGTGAAGTCACAAGATCAAGTTGCCGATATTTTTACCAAGCCTCTGACGAGCGAAGACTTCATAAGATTAAGGAACTTACTAAGAATCACAAGATCAAGTTTAAGGGGGAGTGTTAGATCATAAACTTGATCCATTATGGGAGCCTAAACCCAAACTCAAACTAAATTGATGTCATTGCTTACATCAATTAGATGAAGATGTCATTGCTTACATCAATTTAGTTAGGTGAGAGTTAGGTATTTGTAGACTTTAATGGTTTAAATTATTTTATTTGTGTGGTGTAGGATTGTTCTTGAGTAGTATAAATACTCCTCCCTATTTTAGTTTAAGCATCAAGAAAAATTAAGAGCTTCTAAGTGAGTGAAGAAGCAAAGTCTTATAAGAGTGAGTTGTAGTTCTTGTTTTTGAGTGAGAGTGCTATTGTAATATTTGTTTAAGTTTCAATCAAAGTTGTTTGTGTGAGTGTTTTATTTCCAACAACAACCTATAGAAA